ACCAAGCCAAACAGCAACCCACATTTTCAAAAAGTTCCAAAAATATTTATAAAACAATTCATAACATACCTCCAAAAGCTGTATTTGGCACTACACAAACAGATTGATGGAGTACCTGGGCAGGGAGCGGGAGGGTTCCAATGGGAACCCCCACTGGAAACTGTACAAAGATCAAAGAGCTTGGTAATGCTGGAAAATCTAGTCAAAAACAAAACAAAAAGGGGGGGCAGAAGAGCTTGCCACCACCAACATCAATGACAGCAATCGCCAATCAACCAGGCAGCAACAAACACCCACCCACCCACCTACTACTCTAAACCCTAAATATTTTATATCATAACTGTTATCATAGCAGCTGTAGTAAATGAAAGAAAAAAAACACATTTGTAACATGGTGGGATGGGAAGGCAAAGGAACGGGAGGGGAGGATTGAAGCAGCTTGTCTTTGGGATTGGGATGCGGTCTTTGGGATTAGGATGGGATCACATACTGACGGAGAGGCCAGACTGACTGGGCATAGACAGGTGCAAGAGGCAAGGCTTTTGGGGTGACCATGACCATGGGAGACTCCCAGTGACAGTCAGAACTGCCCAGTGAGAATCCAGGGGGGCAAGAACTGGGGAACCCAGGTGGCTTACATACACCTCTTGCTGTAATACATTAAGAAAGACATTTCAGGGGGTAAATTGGTATTTGACTCCCCTGCTGAAATCTGTGGGGAAAGACATGAGACTTAACTCACTCGAAAACTCCATTCATGTGAACATGAATGCCGTGTTGTGCAAACAAAAATGCACCACACCAAAAAAAAAAAAGTCATGTTAAAATTTTCAGGCACTTCACATTAACACCCGTGTCATCTACACATACCCATTAACAATATTTCCCAGCTGCTTGGAGGTAGCTGGGCTTGGGAATTTCAGATGAAAAGAAAGAAATTTGACAGGATCTTTTTCCTATTGCATCATGCAATTGGTTTTATTCAAAAGAATCCTCAGTGACCTGTCACCATGTTAACTGACAAGCTGACTACTACTAAAAATTCTGACCATGACAGTTTATCTGTTGTTGCATTGTTGATGTAACTTTGAAGAGAGGAAAAACTAAAACCACTCAAATGGTCAGGCAAGTTTCTATAACTGGATTGGAACCTAATTTTAAAGGTCATAAATTCACTTCAAAGAAGGTACAGAATAGCTTGTATTCATGGACATGTCAAAGCATGCCAGTCTGGCAAAGCATTTAGTATCAGTGGGCACATCCACACGAGCACGCACGTGCCTCTTGCAGCATCTCAAACCCCTTTGAGATGCTGCAAGACGCATGTGCAGGAACAAAAAAATGTTTCCCATGCTGCATATTTGCAGCACGGGGGCAAAATTTGATATCTGCAAATTTGATATCTAAAAATACCCTAGGAAAAAAAAAGTGGAACAGGGCATGGTCCTGGACCATGCCTTGAGGCAACCAGAGGCTCTGTCATCCATAGAGATGCTCTGGTAGCCAGCCAGAGCATCTCTATGGCTGGCTCTTCCCCCAGTGTTGAAGCATGCTACTTGCAGTGACCAGGACCTGGGCCCTGCACCAGGCAAGTGAGGGGGTCGGGGGCTGAAGGAGGGGGAGAGGACCATGGGGGGCCCTGCCCAGCCCCAGACTCCTGCTTACTTCCCCAGTCCCCCCTTCTCACACCCCTAGCTCTACCCCAGCTCCTCCCTCCTTCTCCCAGGTCCCTAATCTATCTCCCTAGCTCCTCATCTCTCCTCCAGCTTCCTGATTGCTTCCTTGTCCAGGCCTGGTCCCCCCCACTGCACTCACCAGCTGTAGCAGCAATCGGGGCTGCTCAGGTCCTCCTGTGACAGCCCCCCCATGTGGCATGGGGCAGCAGGGCTTAACCCCGACCTCCTGGCACCCACACTGCTGCTGCTGCATTGCACAGCTGAGGCCCTGCTTGGCAGATTGCCACATGGTGCTGCACTCTTTCAGACAGCTCAGGACTGTGACTCGGGGCCCTGCACCACTCACAAGGACCGCCTGCTGCGCCAGACCAGGTCCCGTGTGCCATTGGGCCAAGCCACTTCTGTAA